AAATAGGCCAGCTAGTAGAATTGACGAACGGTAAACGTGCTTTAATAGTGGACGGCTATCAGTTTTATCGGAAGGAACTTTTGAAGTGCTCAACTGCGTATCGTTGGTGCTGCAGCAAACGATACTGCAAGGTCTACCTGCACGTTAACAATGACTTGCGCATCCTAAAGAGACATTATACTCATAATCATACCTCGAGAAGATTCTACGTTTGCTCATCGGGTAAATACATAAGAGTCTAATTGTGGAAATCTGGATATTCAGGTGTAACATTAAGACATAAATTTCGTCTATCTCACAAACTGACGTCATTTGTCACCCTAAGTTTATAAATATTTGAATATTTCTGTTTCTATTTGGAATTACAACTGTTTTTGTTAATTTATTGATTTGAATTAGTATCTGTACATATATGTACCCAAATTCAATTTTTTACATACACCAATTTTTTGTTTTTTAAGAAAAAATATTTTTGAGAAAAATATTTATTTGTCCAAAAAATGAAAATTAAGGCGAATTATCGCGAGCGTATACTTACATTAACTGAACTTATTTATATATATATAATAAGAAAAAAAAAATCATTGATATGTTTCAATAAATCAATCTTGACATTTTCTTAGTCAAAATTAATACACGACTATTTTGTAAACACTCGTTCTTAATGTTAAATCCTGTATATTGTATATAATACTATATTGGTAACATAAATCACGTTAACAGGATCAATGTGTTAGTACAATACGTATCCAATATATAATAAGATTTACGTTCATCGTGTTCAGCATAAAACACGAATTCTATAAAAAAAATATTATATTTGGTCAATTTTTCATTCACAATGCTATACTGGAAAATATTGTTTATGAAAAAATGCTTCAAAAATCCATTTTGTACTCTGAGATGGAAATAAAAAAATCTTAGAAATGTGATATCAAGTTTATACCAACATGATACAAATGGGAAAATGATTTAGAACTAAATATAGGTATTTATGAACTGTATTAATATTGTCTCAAATTAGCGTACATATGTATAATTAATGAAGTTTATTTTAAATTCGGGTTTTATTTTACTTACAGAAAATTTACAACTTATTTATTTGGTGGTATAAATTAAAAATTAAAAAATATCTTTTTCATATATTCACTTTGTAGTATCTTTTAAGAAACCAATTATTTCGTCAATAAATCAGTAGAAGTAAAATTATCTTGTAGAAGTAGATAGTCCGTAAGTAGTCTCTTATCTTCAGTTCAGTTTACCCTCTGCCTATCAACTTTCACTCATGTTCAGTGAAATCTGACAAGTTTTTTTAATACGTCTAGGAAGCTATCTCAAGGACAAAGCTTATAACTACACGATCACGAGCATATTTAACTATGTTAATGGATGCGTTAAGAATAAGTCAACGGTTTTATGCGATTTTATTAAAGGTGCCGTGACAATGAATCGTTCACGCGGCTACTAGCATTCGCGCCCACGCGAATACTGCCCGCTCTGCCGCGGGCGTTAATATTCGTTGCGCGCTAACACGCTAAATTTTTAACACCTTAACGAACGGCCAATATCGGCTCGCACAGCTCTACCACAGTACAAATATATAAGTGGGTGCACTCGAGACCCGAGCGAGAGTAGTACTATCATGTAGTGCTGTCACTTATAGGTTATTCAATCGTCAGAAATGCATGGTCAATGAATCTCTAAAATGTAAACTATATTTTAGAGATTTATTTAGACTACAATTTATTCATACCTACGTCATGTCATCAATTTAATGTAATGTAAAATTAAAGCGTGGTTTTAATGAATTATGTATTTATTAATTTTTTTGCAAATAATCAGGCTACAAAGGAAATATGATAATGTTGATCTTAATTTTTAATAATCATGTGCTTTTTACAAACAGTTTCTATCAATGGCCCATATTTTTTTTTATATTACATTAGCTAATACGCAAATATACAATTCAATATCAATTTCAATTTGGCGGTATTCGGGCCTAGAGATTTAATAAATTAAACTACAAAATGATATCTGGTAAACGAAATTTTGAGCAGAAATAATTCATAAACTTTTGATGGGTAAATAGCTACACAAAATTATAATTACTTATTATATTATAATTACTTATTATATTATAATTACTTATTATATTATAATTACTTATTATATTATAATAAATTATCCGAATACCACAGTAACGAAATACCATACTTACACTTGATTTATAAAATTTTGAAATACCATATACTCGATTTATCGGCTGGCGAAAGCCACTCGTGCCTTGAACTCCTATAACTTCGATAATTTTCTAAGTGTGTGCGTGCGGCGACGCATACGCACGGGCGCGCTCACATACAAACCATTTTCGGTGCGTATGTATGAAGAGCACTTACTCTTTGTTCTCTGGCTCCACTCCGCTATGCGCCCTAAAATGACGGTCACCCTACCTATCACATCGTTCTACTAAAACATGGTCCTTTGGAATCAGAAACTAGACCACATTACACTTAATAATAATAAACCTGGTTTTAAAACTTACATGTTGTTATTCCATTTTTTTATTAATGTATGACTTTATTATACACAGAATAATATAAAAAGGTTATTACGATGGCCAATTTTTTATCAGGATTACACTTTACTAATCTCTAGTTGGAATAAAGCCAGAGTTGGTAAAACGAAAAAGCGTGCAAGAAAAGGAATCTGAATTTGAGTGGTTGTTTGCAAAGCCTATACTTTACGCTCTAATGGAGCAGTACCATTAGCCTTCGTTTCATTATTTGATAGCATAGTTTTTGGTTTACAGGTAAATTAATAGAACTTCAGAACGGAAAACGTCTGTTTCTCTATAAAGGTTATACGTATTCCAAAAAGAGAATGTTGAAAAACGGCGGCGGAGCCTTCCGTTGGGGCTGTACACGATCTACTAATTGTTCTGCCTACCTCCATCTAAGTAATTCCTTTCAAATCCTGAACAACATCAATTCTAAACACCAACACTTGCCTTCTGAATATATTATCGATGCCCGCGGTAAATATATGAAATTGTGAATGATAATTTTTTACAAATAAATATTTTAAAAAAGTGGATTCCGTTTATTTATGTTTAACACAGTTTTCACGACTAAATATCACGTATTTAAAGAATTTTGGTAAAATTGAAACCTTAAAAATATGATAGTGATAATATTGAAATCACTGGTGTTATTTATTGTCTATCATAAAGAATGAAATCATGACTCAAATCAGTTGAAGTTGATGTTGTTGAAGTTGATGTTAATATTATATTTTATTTTTAATTTCTGCGAAGAAGAAACATTTTTTATTGATACCAAAATAATCTGACTACTTATAATATCCTAACACAAAAGAAAAAGCGCAACTGTATACAAAAACCATAAATTTTTGTTTGTATGACCGTCATTGCTTGCTCCACCAAAAAGAAAGTTTACAATGTTTTCTATTTACAAACTCTAGTGAAGGCCACAAAATTGAATAATTCTTTGGGACCTACAACCATTCTCCGCAATAATATGTTGTTAGACATGGTATTAATATTAAAATGTTAAATAGAAAGTCCTTATTTGATTAATTGACCAAAAAAAAAACATTGCCGTATCATATTGAGCTCGCTAGAGATAGGCACACCATCTTAATAATGGAAAGCATTTAAGAGCATGAAACATTTAAAAAAAAAAACAGAAATATATAAAAATATTCTTCAAGTTTCAATATTCTTCAATAATTTTAAATTCAATCAAATAAATTTTACACAGCTCGTAGATGTGAAATGATACAGCTAATGAACGGAAAAAACTTTTTCTACGTGAAGGCAACTATTTTCCAGTGCATAAAAGGTACTTGTGCGTTGCTTACCTTCACTTGGACGAAAAGTTTATGTTCTTTCAAGTTTCAGAATTAAAAACAGCTACCAATCTGTTCATTATATGAAGCTCAAAAATAGACTTTACATAAAGTTGTAAAAAATAAAGTGATTTTAGTAAATAATAGTTTTTGATTTCGACTAATTTTTACTATATGCGATAGTGTCCGACCGAAACTGGTTTTCCAACCTAAACCGAAATTCAGCAACGGTCTCAGTTTCGGTTTCTTTAAAAATAAAAAAGCGTTTTTATAATAAATCAGTCTTTAATTTTTTATCTTTAAATCACGAAGCTATTCAGTCTTAGACATTTTAATTATGATAATCAACATACTTAACAACTACTCAATCCCCTCATTAAAGGAACGAAAAATTGCGCCTTAAAAGTACTAAAAATAGATAAGGTGTTTATTTAAGCAGTTAGATGGAATTCATGTTGTTTTTTAATATCAAAAAGTAAAATTATCTCAATACGCACTTACTAATTAAGTAATAATCAAAACAAAAAAAATATATATCTTAAAAACAAATTAACGTCTTCTAACCTAAATTAAACATTGTGTATAACACTTCAATGAAAAAAATTAAACTTCTACTCATTGCCGCGGGATTTCTTTCGCGGATCGAGTTTGGGCAAAAAACGAGTTCCGGTTTAATATCGGAACTCGTTTTTGCCCAAACTCGAGCGAAACCAAAACAGAAACCAAACATTCGGTCGGACACTACATGTACTACGGGAAGTTACAAAAATTGTATATGCGAATATATACAATTTTAGGAACTTCCCGAAGGTGGGATAATTACTAATGTCAATCAGGGTAATAAATGTCAGTAGCGCAGTCTTTATAATGACTGCCTGCGAATGTTCTACGTATGCTATTGCATTATACGTAACGTATATCTTATATCGTATCTGTTCCGAAATGTGGACCTGACGACTAGAGAAAATAACTACCCGAATGCAGGTGCTACAGCGTTCATTATAGAAATCAGTGCAAAACATGGCATTTGGAGCATATTGACCGATAAAATTGCCATCACAGCGCATGCATGCATAGTGCCCGCACACGGGTATTTTTATTAGCTATGTATTTACAAAGTAACCGTTAAAGGTCAATTAAAACTGATTGCAGGAATGTTGATTACGCAAACTAACGGAAAGAAGCTGATATTATTTGAAGAGTATACTTTTTTAAATACTGGAAAAGTCACCGCAGGTTTATTCAAATGGAAGTGCACAGACTCTGATTGTACAGCCTATCTTTTGGTGACGCATAATCTAGACATATTGAAGACGAAACATAAACACGCACATGACACTCCTAAGTACAAGAAGACGCCTAGAGGTTTTTACGATTTTGAATGTGATGATTAAAACTACTGCATACAAATGTTCACACATAGTACAAATCGTAAGCGGGACCAGCAAAGTCAAACATTTTAAATCAGTTTTCCTAGCGTTAAAAAAACAAGAAAATAAAAATATTGTAAAATCATTTCTTTCGACTGTTGATGATGATTTCCTGATTATTATTTGAATACGCTCAGTAGTAGTAGTCTACAGTCTTGGGATTGTGTATATTATACTACAGGTACATATGCTGATTCAAGAAGAGGAATCTCCTTTGAACCCTTCACCCTTTGAAATCAGCCCTTTCTAACGTCTTTTTGTGAGTGTGTGGTATTATTCATAATCCCAAATACTGTATAAACATCTAATTGTGAGTGACTAATCTTCCAAAATAGATGTACAGGCGCTTTAAGACCTTTGCTCCTATGCCTTTCTCTAATCATATTCGTATAGCCGACAATTTGTCACAGGAAATCATTTAAAAAACGTCCAAATTCTGGCATTGTATTGATATATTTTTTTAAGTTGTAAGATTTTTGACTTTAATGAATAAATAACTTTGTTTAAATTTATAACCACGTGTTTCATTATGTTTAAATTGACCCATTTCTTCGATATATATTTAATTCATAAGTTTGATTTCATTTGAATCTGATATATCATATTTGGAATCTCCAAATGAGTATATTTAAAGCTTGCTTTGTGAAATTGCTTCGGGCTATACATAAGCCGTGTTGTTATGCCACTAACACTCAATGCGGTGATGGTTTACTAACACTCTAACGTTTCAGTGAACATATTCATGACATCACGAGGTAAGGAGCGTCTGATCTACCAGAACTACACGTATTACAAGCAGAGTAGAACAAGGAACGGCTTCAGATGGGGCTGTACCAAGAACCGTTGGCACAAGTGCAAAGCTTACCTGCATTTGGCGGACGATATGACTATCGTACGGAGCAATGTAAATCATACGCACACCGCTTTTGGCACCACCGTTCTGCCGAAATAGATCGAAGTGTTTTTTAATCTTATTAATACATTATATGAAGGAAAATGAATTTTGACTATATCTAGCTATCAATTTCACTCGTTTTGATTTCATTAATTATGACGGTGAACATGTGGTGCTAAAATTCTAATTTGATCTGATTTTTTTTTCAATGAAAATGTCGCTATATTTGTTTATAGTGATACAATTAGTATCAATAATACATTTGTCTGTAGATTTGATTTTGCATGGTGGATTTTTCTACATTTTTAATTAAATTCGAATACTGACGATATCGAAATTTAAGAAACCGTAACGTTTAGAATGAAATACTCATATTTAGAGTGAAAACGGATGCAGCAGCACAACTTATATTAAAACTGCACGTTTTATACGATTTTACTTAGAAATAAGTAGCTTATAATAATATAGGGTCTGGAGTCAGATAACACATTTGATTTTTAAAGTATGTTTTGTTCTAAGATATAAGCATCTATAAAATCAATAGTTTTGTAAGATTATCTAATATGGAGCGTGCCTGTTAGTCTTTTGTCAAAAAACTTTGTCTGAATCAATAGAAACATAAATTATAATTAAACATAACGAAAACGAAACATATATTATTTCGAAATAAAAATAAAGCCCTGATGGCTTGCGATTATTTATTTTAGAAATTACAAATTGTTGCAAAATAATGTACCATCTTATGATTTTACATAAAATCTGTTTGTTTTTATGTTGAATTGTGTATTCATTTCGTCTATTTGTTGTACTTTTAGGACTTCAGGATTTACAGATACATTCAGGTACACGACACAAAGATAATACATAGTAATATAAATGGTATAAAAACGGAATAGCTTTTTTTTTCGAACAGCTATGATTTATGTTTCTAACGATATTAGCTATTAATTCAGAGAAAATTTTAAGTAAATCGTTTAAAAAAGAAATCTCCTACCCCACAAAGACACGACTTGAAGATATAGTTAGATAAGATTGGTTGGACAACCAAAATGCTCAAAGCCATTTGAATGCATGCACTGCACACTATACACCGGTATTTGTAACGATAAAAAAGCATTTATAAGGCACATTTGTACTAATTTATCAAAAGAGTCAGCAGCAACATTGCTTGAACGTAGTGCCGTCTAATAAGGCCCGCTGTTTTTTGAAGCCCGAGAGCTAAAAACCTAAATAGAACACATATCAAATATAGTCCTATATTCAAAAACAATCGTAGGACTGTAAATGTTTGTGTTTTAGTTGGATTTTGAACCACTCGGTCTAAGACTATAATACTTTATTAGAGTGGACTATGGGAAAAAGCCCTATTTTATATATATCGTATAATTACGTAGACATTATTAGAAAAAAATGTAAAAATCTAATTATTTTGTTCTAACGCACCCAAGTTGATCTAATTTATTACTTCCTAGTTTATGAATTATATAGTTAACTTATTCAAATTCGTTTATGATCTCGTGACACTGTGATTTTTTGTTAGAATTTTATTGTGTTTTATATTCTATTGATTAAAAATATATACTAAATGTGAATAAATCGACTATTATTCTTTATAGCAACTTTTTAACTCCTGTAAATTGATATTAAATCCAGTGTGAGTTTGTAATGTATTATTTTTGCAGCGACCTATATTTCCACTGTACGTGGTAAAAAGCTGCTATTGTATGGTGGCTACACGTTCTTCAAGAGCGGCTCCATACGAGCCCGCGGCTCTAGATTCAGCTGTTCCAGTTATTTGAGCAGGAAGTGTAAAGCTCATGTTCACGTTGACACCAACGACATGATATTAATGGCTGTAACTGAACACAACCATCCACCAATGCAATATGCGAAAACTCAGGCGGGATTATATATATCAAGTTGTAACTTAATCGTCGAGTAGTTGGAATATTATACTTATACATCACTGGGAACGAAAGTAAAGCATTTACTGATACTGTAAATATCAAATAGTGCAAATTAAACTTATTTGAAAGTATTTTGTAGGTTATAAGCTAACCTAAATAATCTGCAAAAATCTTCGGCTAATTGGATTTACTTATGTGGCGGGTCTTAATTTCTTTGGAAGACATTGTTTTGAAAGCCCGAGCGCTAAAAAACGAAAATAGGCTTTTAACGTGTGATTATTATTTCTGACCACCATAAATTACCAACAGTAACATAGTAAACAACGCACAGTTATAAAATTTCGAAGAAGTTCTTTAAGATAACCTATAGAACTGAGAAACTTTTTTAAATATTTTATGGCTGGTTTGCAACGGTCCGAGTATACTTGGTTGCTTAGCACTCGAACTTTCAAATACAGCTGATTTTCCAAGGCTGCATCATTTGCATTACATTAGAAAACAACTTAGTATGTGTAAAAAAAATTACAAATTTTAAAGTTTATAGAAACTTCGTCTAATACCTGTAATATTTTGACGGTGCGTTCAATAAAAACATTAGAACATAAGCGCCATAAAATAAAATAACTCAATGAAACAACCGTGGTGTCTCGAGCAAGACTAAAGTCTTCGACCAATATGTTCAGCGATGACTTACGGAAACGCAACATGGGTCGTTTATTCTGCATCTCACAAGAAGGCTCTTGTAGTCCTAGTGGTAAAGAGTAATACTTTGCATTTCTAAATACGTTCAAGGTAGGAATGAGAAAATATATAGGAAAACTAACGTTACTGTGTAACGTTATTGCTCGAAGAAGTGGATCATTGGTTTACCTTGCAATTAAAGGATCCCACAGAGTTCGGCTGCACTTCAGTTACGGATCCCATTGACCAATATGAACATGATATGAATGAGCAATTACAAAGGCCAGTACTCAGCAGTGAGCGTCGTCATACAGCTAATGAAGATGATAACTAATGACCGTTTAATGGCATTTTATAAAATAAACTATAAAATCTTAAAAGTATATACTAAATGTGTATAAATCGACTATTATTATTTTAAGTACTTATTATAGAGGAATATTACAGCAACTTTTTGACTCGTGTAAATTGATATTAAATCCAGTGTGAGTTTATAATATATTTTTTTTGCAGCAACCTTTATTTCCACTACACGTGGTCAAAAGCTGCTATTGTATGGTGGCTACACGTTCTTCAGGCGCGGCTACATACCAGCCCGCGGCTCTAGATACGACTGTACCAGTTATTTCTGCACGAACTGTAAAGCTCATCTTCACGTCGACACCAACGACATGATAACAACGGCTGTAACTGAACACAACCATCCAGCTGTGCAATATGCGAAAACTAAGTCGGGATTATATATCAAGTAACTGAACCGTCGAGTAGTTAGAATATTATTTAAACCACTGGGGACGAAAGTAAAGCCTTCACTGATACTGTAAATGACTCTACAAATATTAAATAGTGCAAACGTAACTTATTTGAAAGTATTTTGTAGATTATTAAATTACCTTAATTATGTAAAAAAAATCTTCGGCATCTTGGGTTTACTTTCGTGGCGGGTCTTAATTTCTTTGGAAGACATTGTTTTGAACCCCGAAAACTAAAATAGGTTCGTAACGTGTAATTATTATCTCTGACCACTATAAATTACCACCAGTAACATAGTTAACAACGCACAGTTATAAGATATTGAAGAAGTTCTTTAACATAACCTATAGAACCGAGAATTTTTTTTTAATATTTTACGGCTGGTCTGCAATGATCGAGTATACTTGGTTGCTTAGCACACTTTCAAACACAGCTGATTTTCTAAGTCTGCATCATTTGTATTACATTAGAAAATAGCTTAGTATGTGTAATAAAAATTACAAATTTTAAAGTTTATAGAAACTTCGTCTAATACCTGTAATATTTTGACGGTGCGTTAAATAAAAAAAATTGAATATAAGCGCCAAAAAAAAAATAACTCAATGAAACAGAAAAATATAGGAAAACTAACGTTACTGTGTAACGTTATTGCTCGAAGAAGTGGGTCATTGGTTTACCTTGCAATAAAAGGATCCCACAGAGTTCGGCTGCACTTCAGTAACGGATCCCATTGAACAATATGAACATGATATCAATTAGCAATTACAAAGGCCAGTACTCAGCAGTGAGCGTCGTCATACAGCTAATGAAGATGATAACTAATGACTGTTTAATGGCATTTTATAAAATAAACTATAAAATCGTAAAGTATAGTAACATTGGTATTAATGATTTTACATAATATTTCAGCTAAATTCATATTGACTGATCGTGGAAATAAACTAATTCTCCTTAACGGTTACACCTTCTTCAGGAGAGGCAAAGTCCGCCAAGGTGGCTCCAGATACTGCTGCTCAAGTCACCTCAGCAGAAATTGTAAAGCTTACTTGCACGTAGACAAAAACAACTTTATCACCCGCGACTACTCTGTACACAATCACGAGCCAGCCAAACTCGCTAAAGCTCCATCGGGAGTTTATATTAAAATTATGAAATAAAAAGCGAAATAAAATGAAAAGATTCTTGAAAAAAAATATTGGAAGTAATTGAATCGTCCATAATTTTTTTTTCGTGCTACCTTATGAAAGACTAACAAGAAGAACGGGCTTAGAAATTTACCAGATCTTCACAGTATATTGACGTATACTCATGTTATATCTTTATCAAATCGTTAAACAATTAGCTTGCAAACTCCCAATTCATTTATCCAATATAGGCAATTACAAACAGGAAATATTATACCAACTGTCCGTAAAACTACAGCGGGAAACATTATACTGCAAGAAACTCAGCAACGGATGCTGGGATTTTCCCTGTTTCAAGTATATAGGGAAGACCAATTGAAAAGTGACTGCATTAGACTGGGAGGTTACTTTCCGTTACAATGTTAAAATAATAACATAAAAGACTATGATGTTACAGTGTTAATGTTGACCAATTAATGAATTATTATATTTTGTTGTCGAGTGATATGTATCTTGAATTTATTTTTATTTCGAATATAAAAATTTTGTACATCATTGTTGGAAATCTTAGTTTTTAGTCTGGAAGAGTAATTGATAATTTCGTCTTTTGATTAAACAAAACTTAATTTTACGTTTTCATTAAATTTATTAGGTTAAGTTTAGCATATCTTTGCAATTCATGATCTGTGTCAAATTTATTAAATTACAAATATTATAAATAAAATTAATTTTGGAAAACAAGCTTTATGGATTATAACTACTTTATTTCCCAGAGTAAGGAGGAATCTAGTGACCCACTTAAATGAGGTTTTTCGGGATAAGTGCCTATCTTATGTATACTTATATTCTAAGGAATCTCACTGCACTGCCTTCACAGATGAAACACTCGTATATATAGCCAAGAGAAGTAATCACTTGAGAAAATGTCGTAAGTTAAGCTACTATTTTTCATGAATAGACCAGAATTTGAATGAAGTAAGAAAGGCTTTATTATAAGCTTAGTATATTTCAAATACAGTAAGTATTCTAACTGTTAACAAATCTTACTACATTAAAATTCTTGTTTATTTGGTGTACATATATCCTTAAATTATGACATTCTCAAGTAATACTTCCTTCTCTCAGTGTCACAATCAGCGGTCTTATATAATGAACTCTTCCTTTGGATAGAGAGAAATATTTTATTTAGAAAATGTATGAATGTAAGATTAGTGCTTTGTTAAATTTAATGTAAGTATCAAAGGAGGTCACTATCAAAGCCAATATTTGAGTTTAATTCCATTTCCTTTTTTATTATCGTCATATGAAAACCTGAAAATTTGATGAGTGCTTTGAACTGTAAAAAAGGTGAATCGAGTAAAATGTTCAAAGTGGTAAAGTGTATTGTTTTCTGATTAAAATAAAAAGTTCTCAAAACGTCTCTACAGGTTTTTTTATTACTATGTATATACTGTTACTATTTATATATGTTTGCAATAACTGTTTTTTTAATAACACGTACGGAAGTATCTTTACCTTGGTTGTTAAAAAGTCTTTGGCTGTTTCTATCTTTTCAATATTTTTACACTTACCTATGTATTGACAAATGAAGCTATTTTGCAGATTGGCCCGTCCAAGTTATCGTCAAGGAAGACACTAGTAATAGAAAAATTGCTTCTTCTAAACATACACCGCCGAAACCTCCACCGCCAACTTGGTCTACAACTGTAGAACATGAAAGTAAGTGGTATAATATTTCCATAGGTTTATAACAATTTAATAGATTCTTAAATAAAAATGCTTAAAAAATTCATCAGTCTAAGTGCTCGAAATATAATTCGACGCCATAACCTTATAAAACCTTATTAAACTTATCAAATACTATAAAAAATAATGTTGATTCTTTTTAAATAGAAATGCTATTGAAACTGATATCGAGAAATGCGATTAAAAAAACTTAATCTGTCTTATTTCCTCATTCGTATGGTCAAGGAATGCTATTGGGTAGGTGGGTGCTAACGACTATAGATTTAGCCAAACCCTTAAGCTCGTTGGTGTACCTTCCGATTTTAGGTCCTGCGTAGTACATTTTAGGTCACCTTGCCGATGGCACTACTGCGTAATGAGCTCTAAGGATAGTAGAAAATTCTATAAATATCTATACACCAATATAGATTCAATCAGGAATTGGTTCCATTGACTTGTATTAAGATTAACAAGTATTAATAGATAACTTATAATTTCAGTTTGCTTCGCGAAAACAACTGGTGGTGGGACGATACTCGTCCTCGATGGATACACATTCAGTAAAAATGGTAACCTAAGGAAAGGAGGCACCAGGTTTGCTTGCTCCAAGATGCTGAAAGAATGCAAAGCCTTCGTGCACGTGACACAAGAGGGAAACATATTGAAAGCACATACAATCCACAACCACGAGCGACCCCATTTCATAATTAACAAGGATGGTGTTATTATACGCTGAAATTGAACGTATAGAAACTACCTAAAAATTATTTACTCTGAATATAGATGAAAGGTCGATGTAAAAGACAAAATTCCTTTAACAAAATATGAAGGAAATGCTGAGAATTCAATTATATAAGTATAGCATAAATAATCTAAGTATATAGCGTCTTCCAATTGGAAGCTAAGATTGAACTAACGTAATCACACAGATAAATCAATAGAAAATATACAGTATTTTTATGTAGATCCTAATTCAATTTTAGCTTTAAAACTTAGCATTACTTATCTTGTATCACAGTATCTTCAAATAAAGCTGTATAGTTATTTATAATATAAAATAGGTAGTCAGGGAGAATACTGTGACTTGGTTATGCTGTGCTAAAAAGAGAAGAGTTTTATCGAGGTATGAATACTTTCGAATGATGTTGGCAAGTAGACGCTCTTCTCTCTCTCTCTCTCCTTCTTCGCGTTCGTTGGTTACTCTATAAAGATTCTTTCTAGAACACCAATTTCGAGCCACTGTTCATAAAGCTTAAAGCTTTTGCTGACAAATGATATATTAAACAAGACGTATACAAAATACATGGGGTTGAATAAAGAGTAGTCGATTTATGCAGCACAAGGCGTAAGACGAATTCGTTTTCTCATTGTAACTCTTTCTAAATGACGCTTATTTAAGGTAGAAAGGATAAGTTACTCTATTAAAGAAAATAAATAAATCCAAAAATGTAATTCTAATTTTAAAGTATCATGAGGCATATTATACTTTCACCTATAGATTTCTAATTAAAAATATAAATGTATATTAAATAATTATAAGAATTTCGTTTTTTATTTTTACTATATCCAATATTTACCTGTTAAGTCTGTTTACTATACACTAATCCTTAGAAATATGTTTGTGAAACCTAGAAAATAATAGAACATTCGTAGTGTAATGTGTATCTGCGCCAATCTCAGATGATCTTAACACCATTTTTAACTACAAATCTAAATGATTTTTAATTTATCTTCGTAATATATTAATGACAGTAATCCTTATTTTACTAGAAAATGTTAATTTAAATCGATTTTTGTCATTTGTGACATTGGAACATAAGTTGTATCAATTTCCACTTATGTACCCTTCGGTCAACCACTGGTGTGCTCACCAGTACTCAAAGTACGCATACTGGCGTACTTTTATTTATTCTTTTGAATTTGTAGTCACTTAAAATATTTCAATAAATAAATTTTTTAATTTTTAAATTTTCATACTAGTCGTTGACCAGAGGTTTATAATTCGTTACAGTAACTGAAACTGACCACCTAAACTTTTTTCTACAGGCACAATGCGGCCTACAAGAAAGTTTTTTAGGTATACGGAAGAAGATGTAAGAAAAGCAATAGACGAAATAAGTAACGGATCAAAAATAAGGGAAACATGCCGAAAATACAATATTCCTCATACAACCATCCTTGGTAAAATCAAGAAAAAGTACCCTGTGCAAAGAAAGATGGGACCTCCCACTATATTAACCACGGAAGAAGAAACTCTACTTAAAACCTGGATATTAACGAAGGCAAACAAAGGATTTCCAGTTAATAAAGAAACTGTAGTTGAGACTGTTAAGGATATTATAAGTAAAGAAAATCGACCAAATCCCTTTAAAGACAATACACCTGGAAGGAAATGGTTTATGAGTTTTTTAAAACGGCACCCAGACATAGATGCATCTCACTTGGAATCTAGCGAAAGGAGACGATCCTCTCTCAGTACTTAGTTTGCCTAACATCTAAAACGATAAATTTAAGATGGAATAAACTTACCTGTTATTTAAATCCAGTAACAGAAGTTATCATTTCCATTATATGTATCTTCTGTTGTCATTAAAACGTTGGTGTCCCGACATCCTTAACTTTTTTTGAGCTTTGTCTTGGACCATCATGGTACAACAATGATATGACAGAATCGACCAGCCAACGCGGTGGCGGCAGTTATCAACGTGAGCGCCCTATATGCGGCTTCTTTTTCGAACATATTATTTCAACCAGGCCCGTCTTTACCCATTGTGCACCCGCAACGCACTCGGGCGCCGCGCGTTGGGGGGCTGAGCACTGCTTGCACCCGGGCGCCTGTTGTGCTTAAGATGGACCTGAGCTACCCTTTCGCATTCCCAAGCGGAATTCATAAGAGTTGACGTTCCTACTATAGGTCTGTGTAAATTTGCCGTTTAATTATATGGCAAACTCGTTACATACTATTTGAGGGCAGTGAAATAAAAAAATGACCATTTATATTCTTAATACGCCATTAACAATTCGCCATCAGTCAAATTGATTATAAACCTTTATTTGTCATATTCCATTGATTCTAGGAAATTATTATTAGTGTCTTTTTATAAATTGAATTCTGAAATCCCGTTATCTAACCGGACAGTCTGTCTAGGTTATTTATACCTACATCTTACGTTAAAAATGTAAATTAAGTATGTTTTGTAATTTTGATCTTATTAAGTTTCTAGAATATTTTACATATTCAAACATAAAACGAATGTGGGACAGCGTCTCCTGGCCAAAATAGAAACTGCTATAAAAATGGCATGCAAAGTCGCTGAAAGCGTAGTTCACATTTTTGAAGATCCCGAAAGAATCATAAATGTAAATTAAAATCTGGATTTCGACAAGACCTGGATTAATGTTGGATTCTCGATAGCTCAAAAAACAAGAAAGCAAGGAACAAGTGAAGGATAATGTAGCCGCATTTGGAAGCTTGACAGCATCAGTAACTTCATACACAAATTCCATCTGAGATCGTGATAGATTTAAATAAAGACAAAGTGGATGACAAAGAAGATTTTTTTAAACTTTAAACTGTAAACCCTCTCATTCTAAAATTGAAAGCAAAAGAACAAAAGTTGGCCACAAGTGATACATAAACCTAGAGCCACATTAAATTTGCATTTGGAATCTTAATCTTATCCCTCTATCCAAATGCAACACACGTAATAAACAGAAACAGATATATTCTGTTTTCCAACCGCTGAAGAACTCGTGGAAGAGGATTATTAATCACAGGACATTAAGAACTGATCATTGATGCACTACTACAACACTATTTGCTTCTCTTTTGGTAGTCACATTCTATAACATTTCAAATAATCTAAGCAAAGCAAATAATCTTAGGAAATGTGGAGTGTCTGTATCCGTTCGATGCCAACGCAATCAGCTCCGAAAAAACGATTAGGTACTTTACACCTCATTTTTATTGTTTTATGTACAATTGCTAGAAAAATAGTGTATTGTATTTTAAATTAAAGTATATTCCCTGAGTGCATTTCTCTATTCCTAAATAAATAATTTTTAAATTACTAAATTTATAATGATTATATTATTATTATTTATTCGATTGTATGGGATATAGGAATAGTATTTTTTTAGATTTTTTATCATTATTTTTTATGTCCAGATAAAAAATGTACTCTATGTTGATATTTATTGTGTTACAGATTGGAGTGTCATTAACATTTCAGAACAGAAAATTGTTCAGCCACCGGAAGCTTTGCCTTCGTCAGCAACCCAGAAAAACGATAGTAAGTTCTTTCGTATATCATTGATTCTTGACTTTTATTGTATTATTGTAATGGGAATTACTGGTTTTATTTGCTTCTCTTTTAGAAGTCACAGTCTATGATATTTCAAAGCAAATAAATTTTAGGAAATGGGGCTTGTCTGTATCTGTTTGATGCCAATGCAATCAGCTATTCCCAAATACGTTTCTCTATTCCCAATAGAAAATACTTTTAAATTACAATTTAGTCCAGATCTGGCAATGGCATCTATGAGAAAACCATATAAGTCTTAAATTTGCATTAAGTATGCGTGATGTTTGTTACCTCAAAACTTATTACAGAGTGAACCGATCCTATTGATTCTTTTATTTTTTATTTGAAAGCTGGTGCTTCTGGTGTGGTCCCATTTCAATTTTCAGAATAGTATTTGTCTGACTTAGGAGAAGGTTTTAGGTATATTAACAAACTAAAAAATGGAGATTCGCACTGTAACACGGTTTTCAGAAAAGTATTTTTAATGTGTTATATAAAAATATCAATATCACTAAAAAGCATGAAATAAAAAACTTATTACAAAAATAGAACCGACTTCAAACTTAAAAAAAGTGAAATATAATACTTATCTCAAAAGCGACTTATTCAAGAAAATGTCATTGAAGTCAAGCGCCTATAAATTAATTAATATTTTACAGAAAAAAACCTCTGTCTGACTTCAATAGCATTTTCTTGAATAAGTCGCTTTTGAGATGAGAATAATTTTTCACTTTTTTTAAGTTTGAAGTCGGTTCTATTTTTTTAGCTTTTTTATTATTTTTAAAGTCTTGATATTTAAAAATTTACTCTATACTGTTATTTATTGTGTTACAGATTGGAGTGTCATTAATATTTCAGAACAGGATATTGCTCAGCCACAGGAAGCTTTGCCTGCATCAACTACCCAGAAACACGATAGTAAGTTCTTTCATTTTATTATTGTAATAGGAATTACTGGGTTTTTTCAATATCAAATAATTGCTTGATACCGAAAAAACCAGTAAGGAAATGGAATTTACACATTTTTCAGTAATTATAAATAAATGTGTAAGTTCTATTTGATAATTTCAGTAATCTTAGCGAAAACAACAACTGGAGGCACGATGCTCGTCTTAGACGGGTACACCTTCAGTAAGAACGGTACCAGAAAGAACTACACTAGGTTTGCTTGCTCCAAGATACTGAAGCAATGCAAGGCCTTCGTGGACATGACACAAGAGAGAAACATATTGAGAGCAAACACTACACACAATCATAATCGACCTTATTACATGATCAATAAAAACGGTATTTTTATACCCATACGATGAAAAAAAAAACGTCATGCGTTATAATATAAAGGTCTAACGTTCAATAGGTATTATTAAAAAAGTTAAGACGTACTGGAATTGGTCAAAGTGGAATACCAGAAATTGTGAGATATATGATGCGACCAAAAAGATCCACCGTAATTTGTGAAAGTCCATTCTGGAAATGATATCCCAATAAATTGACTATGATGCCATGCCACGATTATTATAACGTCTCTGTTAGTACTTTATTAATGAAAAACAATGTTAGTGTTGTTGTGAACAAACCCACTATCCACCCAAGAATGTCGCAGAAGGGTAGTCTCTTTCTGTTTCATAGTTAAAAAGAGACAAATGCTTAATAATTCATATTCAATACCTTTAATGTATCAGATTATATTAGCATTAGATTATATAATCATATGTTTATACCTTACGAAGTTAGTGTCAAAATAAACATTTATCTGAATAAAAAAAGTAAAACTTTACAAGTTAGCTGGGTAGTTTTCTTATTTATTTAGGTTATAATTGAATAAGATTGATTCACGGTAAAAATGGCTTGTTATGATTGAAATTTGCAGGGAAAATTGTTTTTTTTTTCACTCTATTTATATATTAACACGGAAACGGAAGAATAAGAAAGGTTATCATGATTGGGAAATCTATATAATCAGTAGGTATAACTATATTTCATATTGAGAGATATTGATTTAGCTTTACTTCCGATTAATTTTGAAATAAAGTGACCTACATTCATAATTAATATATTAAAGAATGTGGTTGTTTTACTGTCATAAAAGTCACATTTTATGTCATGGTATATTGATTATAAAGAAATAGGTAGTAATATCGCCAAAAACTTTCTTTGTTTAAATTTTTCTGCTGTTATTTTCAAGTTATTGATAGATACCATACATACGTTAAATAATAATTGTATAATTTACTACCCAATTGTTTGTATTATTGATATCGGAAAATTAAAGAAAGTAAACAGAAAGTTGTTTTTTATTTCTAAATTGTAATTTTTATTTGTTTTCAGCTTGGCCAATCGATACTGCGCAAACGTTGAGTATTGCTGTCACCTTCTCACCTGCCATACCGCAGCCTCAGACACAGACAATACGTGCGTTAACTTTTTCTTGCATTACCATATGGCTTTAACTCTGCCTTGTACTAAGGTACTTTTTTCAATCAATAAGAGGTCAATATAATGCATGCTACTCCTAGGCCAAAAATGTAGAATTAAGTTATTTAAATAATATCGATTATCGATTCAGAAAATCATCACGTAGAGTGCAAGCGCAATATCATGGAAGAGTTTAAAGGCGAATGTCAGCATGCACGCAACGACCGCACGACACGCGACGGATTATATTAAAAATGAGGAAGTATTAAAAAAAACGAGAGCACTAAAAAAGCACCTCCACTAGATAAAAGTTAATTTTTGCAGAAAACGAATGGACCAAAGACGGTCATTTCCGGTCCTATTAACTAAAATATTAAAAAAACTGATATTTGAAAAGTTCGAAACTTAGATATCAATTCAAATACGAAAAAGTACAAATAGAATATGAATTGTTTATTGAGTTTTGAAAACTTGTTTACTTTTAAACATGAAAGAAACCGGATAGGTTGTCATGGAGAAATCAAGAACGTACCGTGGCGACATCTAGTTTGATTTCAGGAACTAATGCTTTTTTTAAATATTTGCTCATTACTATTACGTCATCAGCATTATTCCGGCGTCAAAACCGGTCCGGTGTCGTGCGGCCGGTGCGCGCGTGCAATGGACGAGCACGTCAAAGTACCGTCATAATGATCTTTAAGTAATTGATAAGCCCTGAAGTTTCTGAATCGCGATCAAGTTGCAAAAAAAAAATCTTCTTCTGTACAGCTTGGCCGGTGCAGGTCAGTTCTGATAAACAGGAACCAAGAAAGACTTCTAAACCTCCGACACCATTAGCCCTGGTGGCATTAGAAGGACACGATGGTAAGTTCGTTAACTTTTCTTTTCTTATAATATAATTGATGCTGAAGATTTGAAACCCCCCAAACAACAAGCGCGTTTAATTATAGCTTATTAAGCAAGCAATTTTAATTTCCCAAAAAAAAAACTACACTTGATTATTTCGCCATTTCTATTCTATCATATTATAGTTGCCCCAATTCTATTTACATGTACGATTTTTTCGTTTTTCATAAAATTATAGTACGCTTCGCAAAAACAGCTACAGGAGGTACAATACTTGTATTGGATGGTTACACCTACAGCAAAAATGGGAATATAAGGAAAGGCGGTACTAGATTCGCATGTTCCAAGCTGCTTAAGAATTGCAGAGCATTTGTACACGTATCTCAAGATGGGAATATTTTGAAAGCTGAAACAACTCATAACCACGAACCTCCCAGCTTTACAATTAACGAGAATGGTGTTATGTTTAAGAAGTAAAATCAAAGAGCAAAGCTAAAAATCTTTTCTTCAAAACAAGAAATGAAATTAACTATATATAGGTTCTGATTACTAATGGAAATTGCTATATATTTGATGTCAATGATGTTATTAGAATTTAATGGAGCTGTGTTATATGTGATTCCCTCCTTTTTTAATCAAAAGTCTACTAAACTTGTTTACCTAGTTTATAAAATAAACTTATTTCATTCAAATTGGTCGCACACTTATATGTGGATGTTGATGTTATCTATGTGTATTTTAGAAATCTAACTCGGTTAGCGATTTAAGATATTGGAAGACTTGACTTGAAGACTTTGGTCTGAATATCATAGTTATAAGTTCTCAATAGCTTAGAATAAATATCAATGATCTATTTATTATTATTTTACTCTAGTTAACTTAAAAACTGGATTGTAAATACTTTTTTCAATTATACAGGGCTGCGATTTTCCTATTAGGTAGAACTTTTTTTATATATATAAATATACAATTTGTCTAGAGTTAAAGATCAATTTACACTATTTTGTCTTTAAGTAGGTACTTGATGTGATAAAGAATACTGTCAAATTCAATTCATAGTTGACTAAGGGTTTCTAAAAAAAAAATTTGTATTGGCTACTGCACTATATGTTTGTCTTGTAGATTCAATACTAAGAAATATTTGTGTCAGTATCATTATAGTGAATTAAATATTTATCATAGAAATCAATTAGGAACAATGTGTCATATAACGTAGATATGTGTTATATGTTGTATTTATTTATATTTAAATTACTAAATGTAATAAGAATTTCCCTTTATAATAATACAAATTACTTGATGTAATTTAACATTGTCTTTTATTTTTCCATTTCCCGATTTATCGATATAGAAGTATAACGCTAACTACACTTCTTGTTTTGTAATCAACCTATTTTAAAAATTCATTCGTTTTTTATAATATCTTATACCTATATTGACTTCAGCCATCATTCAATCATGTTCAGTCAAATGTCATTCTTAATTTGTCTGCGAATAATTCTTAATATGTCTAGTAGTTATATTAACTAAGATTATTTTGACAAAAAATAGTTTACACTCATTTATTGCAGTTAAATACGTGAAAACACGTAATGGAAATGTCGCCGTGTTAATTAATGGTCAGTACATCTTTACAAAAGGCGTTCGTCACACCGAAGGAGGCTACTTATTCGTCTGCAGGAACGGCACCAAGAAATGCAAAGCTCAACTCCATATGTCTAACGAACATCAGGTTATCAGCTTATCTAAATACCACAACCACGACCCCCCAATTTACTCTTTGACAAAAGATGATTACTTAGAATTCATCTTGTGTTAGGTTAATTTAATACTTTCGTATAATTCTTATCAATAAAGAATCATCATCTATTGCTGTGAGTGTGATTCCCCCATCTAATATGCTATTGAAAATTTTGGTGTGTTTTATGTTATACTAACTGTGACCGCGATTCAATCCTCGTCGAATATTTCGGCAGCATTTTGAAATTTTAAGCTAATAATTTTGCAAATAATACACATATACATTCATTTATATCTAGTATTTTATAGAAAATTGCTATATATTTTGTTTCTTTTCTATACTTTCGCATTTATAATATTAGTAAGCTTTACTAGTAAAGATAAAGGATTATCGAAAAGCGAATAATATATTATTCGTTCATAATATATGTAAGAGCTTATACTAATAATATACGGAATAGCGATTTAAAGGAGTGGAAAATGGAAATGCAAGTGATGCAAAATAATATAATTATAAACTTATAGAAGTTAGTAGGGGCAAATTTTCACAAGACTCTCCAAAAGAAATTGTTCTTGCAGATGATGAAATATTGGTAAATATATCAAACACTTATTACTTTGCAGATATCCGTTTCATCAAACTTCAATGTGGTGTCACTTTACTTTTGATCAAGGAGTACAGTTTCTATAAAATACACGGTCAGATGTACGCGGGTGGCTTTCGTTGGCAGTGCACAGGAAAGAAAGACTTCAAATGTAAATCTTATGTTGTCATCAACAATGTCAACAATACCATCTCTAGAATCAATGTTAACCATAAACACCCACCTCTTCAATTTAAAGAATTGAATAATAAAACTTTCCATGTATAAATTGAATGGGCAATATAAAAAACGCATTCACGAAACAGTTGTTTCTTTTTTACTTTTTTTTCATGACATTCATTAACATTTGAAACCAGTTAGATAATAATTGAAGCTTTTGGATTTTTAACGGTGAACCTTACATTTTGAGTAAATTCTTGTTGATTCAAAAAGTTAAAATTAACATGTTTTAGTTGTAGGAGTTTGATTTTTTTTCATTTATCTCGTACAAGCACTTAATTTTTAATAGTAAAATTATTAGAATTGGTCTGTGATCTGTCTATTTATTGTTTAAATTACCTGTATATCACTACCTTATAAGTATTTTAAGAGGTATCCAAAATCTAAACAATGCGTTTATCAATTCATTATAGGTATACGAATTTCTGAATTAACATTAAGCTGGAGTTTCTGAATTAACATTAATAACGAGAAGAAATGGCATTATACTCTTTTGTCTAGGCTATAAATAGGAAGGTCGGAAAAAAAATTTTGAGTTGCTTTTAAAAAAAAATTTTTTTTTTTAAATAGACTGCTTGTGTGATTGCACAAAACAGAGTATCATGGAAATTAATGTATAATTTACGTACATACAAAATCCTTTATTTCCGTAAAATAAGATGAATTTAGTTTATAAAAAAAATATTTCTAATTAAAAAGGGCTAATGATGACGAATTTCTAAAGATAGCTCCATCTTCTTCCGGCCCAGCCATATTATTTAAACTAAGGTAGTTCATTTCTTTCAATTAAATCAATTATTACGCTATCAAACAAGGTATGTCATTAATTGTTTTAACAAATATTGCGTAGAGTCGGTTACTGTTTCATTCTGTAACTTTTCTCAGGTATATTGGTCAACAGGCCCACCGGACAAGGATTTATCTTCAGAGGGCACATGTTTTACAGGCACTTTCGTATCAAGAACGGGTTCCGGTGGCGATGTTCCAAGTTCCACGCGTCGAAACCTTGCAAGGCGTACCTTCATCTTAGCAACTCCAACATCGTCACCAAAGCTAACTTGGAACACTGTCATCCATATCCACAGTTTAAAGTTACCGCCGATGGAGTTTACTATGCTATTTATTGATTTGAATTATTGTTCTACTGATCAGTGTGGATGGACTGACGATTTGTTTTGCTAACGTTAATGAAATTATCTTATGTCAATAGAAAGCTTTTTTGATACAATATTTGTTATTAGATCACAAAATAGCAAAACATATATCACCATTGTTTTGTTGAGATTGCATTATGCTTGGTATAATGCAGTGGTAAAATTCAATTAATCGAAACGCCATTGAGGTTGCATTATTACGTTTACCTTAGCAGAATCGAAGTCCTGGTCATTCCGATTAAATTCAATTTAACACAGAGATATAGTAGAATTTGTAGTAAATTTTGTATCATCCAAAGGATCCTTAGAAAGTATGATTTGTAAAAAAGTTGTCGCCGACAAAATAGCTATTATTTTTGATGTTATGCCAAAAAAAACGTTTAGCTTATGTAGTGTTATTTTATTATTTACAGCGTCATTATAAGTTGTTTTTAATTATGTCTGTAAATTGCGTCATCAATAGATATTATAATTCATCATTCGTCATCAATAATTATAATTTTGGGTATTTAAATAAGTGCAAGTATGAAAAATGATCTGAATATAATGATTTCCCAAGCCAATGTCATTAGAATCATATGTGTGAAATGTGTACAGCGGGCATGTTATCCACATAGACAGCTAATAGTTAAAAAAAATGAAAACACGGGAGCGATAATGCACTTCATCGGCCACATAACGCGATGCTCTTAGTTATCTTAATAATTTACTTATCTGACCATATTTCTTGATTCCTCTTGTCATTTTATATGTTCCAGATATTTAAAATCATTGTACGCCCTCTTGCCCTTCATAATTATTTATCTAGTCCGGATAATAAAATATTTACGAATTTGCTCATGTTTCAATTCAAAGCTACATTCCTTTTATATTAAAGGAATAATTAAGAATAGAAATTAAGATGACTATATTATTTCTAGAAAACAAACAAGTAATAGTCGGTGGTATCTTCGAAGGCCCATCGGGACGAAAGATCCTGGTCTTCAAAGGCTACACATACAATGAAGATCTTACTGACAAAGCCGGTGTTCTACGTTGGAAATGTTGTCAGGTCAAGGAGAAGTGTCCCGCTTACATTGTCATGAACAACTTCAATCATCAGATCGAGAATAAATTCAAGCATTGCCATAGACCGAAGACTAATGTGCTAAAGTGCGCTTTCAACAAAACTATATTTAAACCGAAAATGAAGTAAGTGTTCACCTAATTGTGCCAAAATCACATTTGGAATATAGTCAGTTATTATTTTGATATTTGTTTTTTAAAATTTACTTTTCCTTACGACACATTTAATACTTACTAGAATTTCAAAAAGTGAGTACAAAAGATGGAATTATTATGATTGACAAGTATGATCTTGAATTGGTACTATTATTTTAAGGTCTAACTTTTAATATATACGTAAATGAATCTTAGAATACATTATTTAATATAAGCGGTTTCATCGTGTACCGACATCTGACGTCTTTAAAATGTATGCAGTAGGTAACAATAACCCTGTATAACGTCTGGTTTTCCTATTTATAGTATCTACACATTAAAAAAATCAACATTCGAGGAGTAAAATGTCTTGTAACTATTAATGTCGATATTTAGTCATAAGACGCTCATATTTGAATTATATATACCTCAGTTGACATGCGTATAAAAATGTAATTACGTATATTATATACTCATATATCTTTTTGTTTAATATTCGGTACTGGTCTAAAGTTACGTTAAAATAACGAAAATTGTTGTTGTAATTTTTGAATTAGTAGAAATTTATTGTAGAAATGATTTAAAAATATAAGAATTGTATATAGTACATTTTACTTGTTTCCAGCTTTATATTATCCCACACAGCAGCACAGTCTATACTGTGAATGTTACGTAATAATGGCGTCTCAATGACGTTTCATTTAATTGCATTTTATCACTGTATTATCCACCATGTGACCAAAATGACTAGTACAATTTTGTTAGTGAGATCTAGTTACAAGAACTGACAATAAGAGCTGCAATTAAAACGCCATTGCCACGCCATTTTCATGTTAACGTTAGCATAATTGAGACTAAAGTTGTAACATTTTTGTTAAATTACCAATATCGTTTTTGACCTCTACGACTTGTATATTAAGCAATTTTTATGTGATAAGACCTTTGTTTGTTGTTTCTTTTTATATATTTGTTGACATACCTTTTTTATTAATGCTTTTATTAATGAGCTTAATTAAGATAAGTTATATTTGTTATCGTTACATTATCTGTAATATTATTCTAATTAGTTTTTTTTTCTGTTTTGATATGGTCTTATTTCTTGTTAGCAAACCTATCGACTTCGAAATGTATTTTCAGACAGTTAAAAAAAAATAAGCCGCTTCAAACTCTAATGGGACTTAACCAACCCTTTAATGACTCATTAATTCAAAGGACTTTATTTTTTTCTACAACTTCTATTATATTAGTGTTATCCGAATAGAGGTGTAAGTTAGTCAAGTATGTTTAGTTTACTTATTTTTTGATTTATATGAAATATGTAAAATATGTAAGGTTTTATACTTATTTTATAAAGTGCTTCGATTTGTTTTCATGTGATTTTTTTTTTTTATAAAAGTTGGAACAATAAATAGTGTGATAATTGTTCTAATCAAAGATAACAAGTAAAGTTTTTATTTCTGCATTTTTATGAATATTTTAGATTCGTGACAAAATACTTTTCTTGTTCCAATATAAAAATAAGCTGCCATTCGTTTATTCAGATGTAAATAAATAACTCATTACTCATAATGAAAGTGAATGTTTTCTTTAAAATGTTTTATTGTAATTGGATTTTTGGATACAACAATTGTGTCGTGTTATTGGACGGTGATGTTAAAATCCATAAAACAGGTATGAAAAGAATTATTAATATCGAGAAAGCTATTCAATTCGGTGCTTCTCCCTACCCTACATGGGGTAGTGAATGGCCTTGTTTAAATTATTATTTAATGCCATCAATTTGATTAAAGAAAATTTTGACTAAATGATTTGGCTTAAAGGTACATAGTCCGGTCGCCCAACAGAGAGAACTTCGTACAATGACCCGGTATTACATTATGTTTTTTACTCGTATGCAAACATATTGTTTTTGTGTTCGCACAGATGCATCTAGCCAATTTGTCATAGTAAATCTGAAAGGTCTACTACGTACGAGACTGTCTCTATTCGGCGAAGGAATTTACATATGCTTTATATCGATATCGATGTTTGGAAGTCATAATGCGCACTATTGCTTTTCTAAAGGTCAGAATTATTAAGCTTATTTATATATTTTTTTATTTATTCAAACAGCGTCGTTGGAAGTGATCACTCTCAAAAATGGAAAACAATACCTCTTGTTTGGCGGGTTCACGTACTATAAACATTTCAAATTGCGCTGTGGATACCGTTGGAGTTGCACGCATTCGTCACGTTGCAGCGCACGATTGGTCGTTTCACACGAGGGTGAACTTCTGGATAGCGTCGGAGATCACAACCACAAGAAACCTGTCGTCGTCAAAACGGATGATGGAACTTATATGAAAGTTAGGGTGTCTTTACGACGATAGAACGCCACAATTAATATCAGTGGTCAGACGCTGAATTATTCACTTTTACCCTTATACCTTTAAGGGTATTAAAGATAAACATGAAGATAGTTGAAAAATATAAATCATTAATGTTTTTATTATGTTAATTATTCTTGATCTTTGGACTTTGATCTTAAATGAGAGTATTCGTTTGTCATAAAATTATCCAATTATTTACAGAATTTTTGAAAGGTAAATTATGCGCTTTTAATTTTTCTATACTAATCTATACTATTTATTTATCTATACTAAAGAGTCTATTTAAGCAAGTCTTTAATATCAAAACTAATTATGTATTGCGTGAATATCAATGTTATTTATCCATTTATATGTCAATAAACATAAAGAATATGAATCCAAATGTTAACAAATTCAAAACCGCGAAAAGCTTGAATCCTTCTTCTACTTTTTATCACACCAACTTTCTATGGTCTTAATTCCAACACGTTGCTATTAGGAAGCACTAAAATAGGAAATTACATTTTTTGTATAGAAAAATTCAATTTTTGGAAATAAATTCTTTAAGTCTGACAGTATCGTTATTTTATACATTAAATCCCTCCCATGTATTTTTGTAACACAATTTTTTTTACTACTTGGATAAAAATACATATGACTAACTCTTAACAATTAAAAAATACTTATAATATGGTATATACTTAAAACGTTTGAACTTTTTAGCTCAAATCATCGAAATGGCTGTCACGGGAAAAAAGTGTATTCTATACGAAGGTTACACTTTCTTCTACCGCTACAAGTTGAGGGTAGGCCACAAGTGGGTCTGCACCAACTTTCCAAGATGCAAAGCTTTCATCTGCGTCACAGATTCCCTCTATATTATACAAAAATATGTATATCATACGCACGGAATGAAATTTCTGCATAGATGCTCCAACGGGAAATACGTAAAATAATATATCCTATTAATATTATAAAGGCGAAAGTTTGTAAGTATGGATGTATGGATGTTTGTTACTCTTTCACGAAAAAACTACTGGACGGATTTGGATAAAACTTTACAGCAATATAGGTTATACATCAGAATAACACATAGGGTACTTTTTACTGGGAAAACTTCTCACTCCCACGGGATACCGACTTCCACGCGGACGAAGTCGCGGGCGTCCACTAGTTTTTATGATAAAATAAGCAAAAACTCCAAAATATATTCAATTACAATGTAGAGTTTATGATTGCATCTTTAAAATTGCAGTTGTAGGTACTGATAACTTACAAACAAGTGTTATACTGTAGGTATGCGGTGACAAATCTTCATAAACTACTACCCGCATAAATTTTGCATATTTTGTTCAATTAGTAATGTCATTTTTCTAAATTGCAACTTTTTATTGCTTATTTCAAATGGTCGTATCTGTAATATGGATTTTGTATTAAATTAGGTATTATGCGAGTTCATATCTCTGATTTTATTTAACAGTGTATCAATTTGTTTCGGTTTATAAGTATATACTTATGATATTTGTATCATGCGTGAGTTATTTAATGGGTAAGGAAGTGTCGTATGAAAACACCTGATGTTTTTGAAAGCCCGACTAGTATTAAACTAGATTTAAATTTTAGCCGTCTTTTAGTTCTTAGTTCTTCTTGCTTGCTGCCGGTACCTAGGTAGTTTCATCAAATACTTTTCTTTTTTCAACAATGATATGTTTTATTTAATTCTTAATAGACGTCAAAGATTATAAAATCATTTGATTATATTTTATTTTTACTTAAATATCGTATTTCTTTCACTGTATTGTATATTAATTGATGAAAAATGCTTCAATGTGTATAGACAGCTACATGTTACCTATAGATTACCACAAAATGTCATTTCCGCAAGTGATTTTGAATTCTACCATCATTACATAAAGATTTAAAACCAAATGAAGAAATTTGACAGTTTTGTGTCATGCTGTTATACAATCCCGTCTTAGGAGTATTCTCGCATGCGGTATAACAAGCAACTTATGGACCATAGATATTTAGTGCTTATAGTGTACAAACTTCCCCAAATATAAATACGAGTATATCAAAATCTACCGAATGATTTCTACATTCTTGTCTATTTATCAATTCACAGGTAGCATTATAACAATGGTTAATGGTAAAAGAAGATTGTATTGCAACGGATACATATATTATATAAAAAATAGTGGCTCCCTCCGATGGGACTGCGTATCTTATCCCAGATGTAGAGCCTTCGCGACGCTCAATGACAACATGACAGTGTTTTTATGCCAGTATCACAATCACCCTGCTAGAATTCTTGGTAAAACACGGGAAGGAACATATTATAGTCGACATTACCATAGAACTGCTTAAATAAAATACTATGACAAAAAATTTTTTTTTTCTATTTCATACATGAACACTTTTACCTGATCACAAGACACGGGACCAGTATTTATTAATTTAGTGTAATACCAATCTAATTATATGCGGACCATCTCTGTCAGCAAAGGAATTGTAGAAGCGTTGGTATATGGGTAACTTAGAATTGCCAACCATCCTGTTTTTCCAGGACATATCCTGGTCCTGTAGTATCCAGAGATATCCTGCATAGTTTTTAAGCAGCATTCTGCATGAATAGCATGACAAACTCGAGAAACCCTATGTTTATACCAAATGACACTTTTCTAAGATCGAAAGTGAGATATCATGTGGGTGCACCCGGTAAAAGTGACATAGTTGGTGTGTCGACAAAGCATTTCTCGAATTTACCATTCTACGCGTGCTGGGTTTTTAACATATTATAAATACACGTGACGCTTTGGTTTTATCACGTGACGCCTCGTATTTGCAGCTTTTTTTTCACTGAATTCCCTCTCTTTAAATTTAAGTTTCGGAAAATTGGGATTCTCAGCCCTAAAATAAAACTGTATAATGAATAGCAACTTCAGGACCCAGTCAGTCTCCCGCTTGAATTAAGAAGACAGCATCATCATCAGCCCTTTTACGCCCCCACTGCGGAGGCTCTGGCCTTGTGGATGGTAAAAGAGAATGGACCATGACCCTCAGAACTCGTTCCCAATGTGGATTAGAGATGACGAGATCGACCCTAGCGAAAGTTGCTTAACAACAACGATCGCGGGCCGCGGCGCTTATCCACTACGTCACCGAGCTTCTCAATTACGAAGACAAACCACAAAAAAAACGCTACCTCATTGATATGTTGCTTGCTATCAGCCTTTAAATATTACCAAAATTCCCCGCTGTTAGATTTATGAAACTATAGCTAGCAATTTTTTTATTAATCAATCTGATTATTTACAGGGGAGATTAGACTGATGGAAAATGGTAAAAGAAGATATTACTACAAAGGGCACAGTTATTACTTAAAAAACATTAGTACTCACTGTAGACGATGGGACTGCGTATCGTATCCGAGATGTAAAGCGTATGTGAAACTTGATGCCAATATGTACGTAACCCACTGCTCTGATGACCATAATCATCAACCTAGAATTCTTGTGAAAACTTCGAAAGGAACATATCTATCAATGTGAGTTGGATTGGAAAAAAGAGAGGTTCCGATTAAGTATGGAACAAAATATCCGGCAATGACGGGCCATTACTTTTTTCATAAAATGTTCCATGATTTTTACAGAGATTTGGCTGTATCTCACCGATGACGCCTCGAATCTCTGATTTGAGTTCAGGAATTGTTTGTGGTTATTCGCATTTTTTTGTGGTTATAGACACGAAATTTTATCGATCGACTTTGCGATTGTGCCCTTACGTACTTTCGTTTACAATTGCAATGTCGATCGATCGCAATTGCCTTTGAGACTACAGGGGCAGGTCCATAATCTTAAAATGGCGAAAATGTTAACTTGTATAAATAATGAATATATGATAAACGCATTATAAACTCTAGCCGTTTAATTATATAACGAATGCTATACTTAGTCAGTGATAGTGACTTAAAATTCTAATTATAATTAAATTCAATGGTTTAAAACTGGTACTACAGTTAGTCTCCGGAAAGAATAAGATGGTATTTTTATATGTGAGACTATAACATATGGTTAAAATAGTACTTATGTTTTTTAAAGAGCATTCACTATATATGGTTGTCTGTTACACACAAAGTAAATACAATTCTGGATTTTTTTATTATTTGTTTATAGTCCATGATAGTTCTTAATTAATACCTCATATTTTTAACCGACTTCAAAAAAAAGAATATATAATACCTTACTTGGTAGTTTTATCTAGCGTTATATTTGCGTCCGTCAGTTAGATAAATAGAAAAATATTATATACGTGTTTTTTGCTGCATTTTAAATAGAAAGTGGCATAGATAATAGGTAACAAAGTAGAGGAGTGATCACAACCGTGTAGAAAATATACAAGGCGCGACATTTCAACTCAATGTATCGCCGTAATTGATTGATTGAGAAAAAAAATAAGTGTATAATATTATTCAATAATCTACCCGACAGACAGACAAACAGAACCATCATAACTATTGCTAAGTGTTATATTTAATGAGTTATTGAATATCAAATATTAATTAAAAATATATGAATATATTTTAATTTTACTTAAAGAATGCATTCATTTCAATGACCTCATACCTCATATTTCCCTTTGTAAATTTTGTATTATCCTGTTGTAAATTTATCATCATCATCATTCCTTTAACGTGCCCACTGTGGGACTGGAGGATATTAACGACAGCTAACGCAGCGGGAGCAAACGGCTTAACGTACCTTCTGAAGAGATATTTTTTTGCGAATGTTGGTTAGCAACAATGATCACATAAAAGCATGTTTAATTTTAATGGTCTTGTTACTTTACAGACCTTTAACTTATTGGTTACAATCGTATAAACAATGTCGTTTTCGTCGTATTATACTTAACACTAGAAGGGCCATGGCCGTCAATTTGACGGCAAAATAATTTTGATGGCTAATAACTTTTTGTCTGTATTTCAGTTTGTATTCATATTTAATGACTTTTCATAACTTATG